GAATGGATAGAGGTTAGGAGAAAAATAGGGTATATGGAATCACAGAAAAGAGTGGGAAAATGGGAGAGTTTTAAGAAGGATGAAGCCATCGATATCAAATGCTGATGGGGTCGCCCATACTAGGTTACCAAAATGTGTCTACTGGAGGTAGCAACAGAAAGGTCATTCACTAGGAGAGTGATCATCTGTCTGGGTTTGCTCGGAAATGTCCCCATTTATGCCTGTTGTTGAGCATTATTGTTATTAGTGGCCCCTGGTGTCTAAATCTGGATAATAAATTATACGATCACCCTGGTCATTGGTTGGTGAGAGCCATCAAAGATAGACTGCAATAGGTGTAGAGATGAACTTTGAGGCGGTGTGGTGAGGCTAATAGAGAGGGGATTTTAAAATCAGATGGATGTCGAACTAGACAGATTTTAAAGACTCTTCCAATCCTGGGACTAGTGCATAGCACTGTTTTCCTTTACTCTTCTAAGTCCTTAAGAATCAGTGAGAATCAAGACTCTGTTATACTTCTTATTTTCGCACATTACAGAGCTAAGTGCTACTTTCTTTCAAATTAGTTTACTAAGGCCAGCATTTTGTAAATAAACACTTTTGCTGTTCTATATTCATTCTTGAAAATGAATACTAGTCACCTGAACTGAACCTCATCTCTTCCACATCACAAAGGCAAAAACATAAAGCAGAAGTGTGTGAGGTGACTGTCTCCCTGAAGAAATTACTGCTAGTCCTAAATTAAGTAAAAGAATCATTTTTGTCTTTAAAATTATTTTGTATGATATGGCATTAATAGTTAGGTTGGAAGTAAATATTCTGCCTCTTATTGCATATACTGTTTGATCTAGGAAAGCGAGGGGAAAAAAATGCATGCCTGCAAGTTTTTTTTAAACCTAATATGTTCTGAGTTTTAGAACTTCTAAGTTAGACCAAACCAATGTCTGAGAGAGCTTAAGCACTTATATTAAAGACGCAAATAATATGAGCACTTGTCTGTATACCATTTAGGTAGAAAAATCCAAGGGGATTAAAACACTCAGTCATTTAGTATGATAATCTCTAGTTGCATCCATGTTGCTGCAAATGGCATTATTTCATTCTTCTCTATGGCTGAGTAATATTCCATTGTATATATGTGCCACATCTTCTTTATCCATTCATTTGTCGATGGACATTTAGGTTGTTTCCATGTCTTGGCTATTGTGAATAGTGCTGCTGTGAACACACGGGTGCATGTATCTTTCTGAATTATAGTTTTGTCTGGATATATGCCCAGGATTGGGATTGCAAGTCAGAAAGAGAAAGACAAATACCATATGATATCACTTATATGTGGAATCTAAAATATGACACAAATGAACCTAGCTGTGAGACATAGAGAATAAACTGGTCGTTGCCAAGGGGGAGGTGGGTGGGCGAGGGTTGGATTGGGAGTGTGGGATTAGCAGATGCAAACTAGTATATATAGCATGGAAAAACAACAAGGTCTTACTGTAGAGCACAGGCAACTATATTCAGTTTCCTGTGATAAACCGTAATGGAAAAGAATATGCAAAGGACTATGTATATATGTATGATGGAGTCACTCTGCTGTACAGTAGTAATTACCACTACATTATAATTCAACCATACTTCAGTAAAAAATAAATTAAAAATAAATAAATAAGTAAATTTATTTCACCAAGGGAAAAACAAAACAAACGAACAAAAAACAATCATTATCATAAGTAAAATAATATCTCAGGACAACAGAAAAGTTATACGAAAAAATGACTTTTAAGTCCATATGGATATTGGGTTAGGTAGGGAGACAACCAAGAGTTTCAAGTGCCCTTGCCTTTTGTTTTTTAAAAAATAAGTTTATTTATTTATTATTTATTTATATTTTTGGCTGTGTTGGGTCTTTGTTGTGGTGCACGGGCTTCTCCTTGTCGTGGCTTTTCTTGTTGTGGAGCACAGGCTCTAGGCACACGGGCTTCAGTAGTTGTGGCATGCGGGCCCAGTAGTTGTGGCGCACGGGCCTAGCTGCTCCACGGCATGTGGGATCTTCCCGGGCCAGGGCTCAAACCCGTGTCCCCTGCATTGGCCAGGCGGATTCTTAACCACTGCGCCACCAGGGAAGTCCTCAAGTCCCTTTGTCTTTAGTAGACTAGTAAAACCACTTGTAAATGTCCGCACATGGGACCCTTTCTCGCTGCTGTTGAATTTGATTACTGAAGGTCAAGCTTCCAGCCATAAGCCTGTCCTTTCCTCCCTGCTCCAGTTTACTGAGTTTAGTTTTGAGTAATTAGGTACTGTGGGGTGAAAACAGGGTGACTTTTAAAAGTCCCTTTTTATTGTTAAGCTGCAAATGGCTGCCTTTAAAACAGGTGGGGGAGGGCGTATTTCTGTGAAAGAAACTGTTTGAGAAAAGAAGCTAATGGGAGGCCATAATGTCTCTGGATAGGAGGCCTGTGAATAGCCCCATAAAGCAGGCGGTAACAGAGGAGGATTCTTCTCTCTTCTTGGGTAATTCATAAAAAAGCAATCTATTACTAATCTGACCATACACTATCATGTTAACTAGTCAATGTAACTAAAAACTTCCTAAACGTATTGCAAATACTTGCATACTACACACTGAAGTCGTCAATAATAAAATTATGCCAAATATCCTCTTTTAAAGAAAATATACCCTTTATTCTTCTAATCAGATCTGCAGCATAATATACTGCTTTTCTGAGTTCCAATTAACTTACCCAGACTTTCTTTGTATCATCTCTGTTTCTCTTGTGTGCATTTGTTTTGCAGTAAGCAATGGCCTCGCTTTTGCTTCTCTTTGGGATGGCCGCCACCACATAGGACCTGAATGTCCTACTGCTTTCCAGGAACAGAAAGAAGACCCTCTATTTGTCTGTTTCAGTGGCAGCTTGGTAGTAAAAAAACTGTTGAATGGGCCACAATTTCAGCAGACCATCACGTGAATGGGACCAGTCTCTTTCCTTCCCAAGTATCAGAAATTAAGCACTTGGAAAGGAGATTTGGCCAAGATGACCCATTTACAGGCTGGACTCAGCCCAGAGACTATAGAGAAAGCTCGCCTAGAACTGAATGAAAACCCAGACGTTTTACACCAGGATATTCAGCAAGTCAGGGACATGATCATCACCAGGCCTGACATTGGATTTTTACGCACAGATGATGCCTTCATCCTGAGATTTCTCCGAGCCAGGAAGTTCCACCAAGCAGATGCCTTTAGACTCCTGGCCCAGTACTTCCAGTACCGCCAGCTAAACCTGGACATGTTCAAAAACTTCAAGGCTGATGATCCTGGCATTAAGAGGGCCCTCATCGATGGGTTCCCTGGAGTGCTGGAAAACCGCGATCACTATGGCAGGAAGATTCTTCTGCTGTTTGCAGCCAATTGGGATCAGAGTAGGTAAATGTAGATAGCGTCTTTATTTGTTTTTTCTTTTTCCTAAGCATTGTCACTGCATGTTTGGGGCTGTGTGCCTTTACAGATAACGGGCTCTTGTTTAAAAGTATATATTCCACACGTCCACAAGGAGAATTTTAAGGCCACAGGTCTTTTACTGTCATCAATAGGTGATTACAGATCCACAGCAATGTTTTGGAACAAAAGAATCACAGTTTTAGAATTATAAGAGACCTCAGAAGTTATTCTATTCATCAAAGTGGGTCATTTGTTTTAATAAAATGGAAATCTGGTCTTCTAGAAGAACCATATATTCTGTCTTTAGGGTTCTCATCTTTAACAACAACAACAAAACTGGATTCAGTAGATGGCTTTAAGTCAAGTGTTTTTAACACATGAACTAATTTCTTGGATCCTCTCCATGACTTTAATATCTGACCTTTCTTCTGCGTGCCAGACCTTCCCATCCAAATGCCTGTCAACCATTTCTCCCGCAAAGTCCTATAAAGAACCACAAACTCAACATGTCCCAACTGAGTGCAGCATCTTTCCCACTCTCCCCGCTCTTCCATCGCTCCAGTCTCTCGAGCCAGAAATCTGGGTGTCTTCCTGGACCGCTCCTTGCCCTTGCTGCTCACATCCAATTAATTGCCAAGTCCCACCCCTTTCTTCTTAAAACCACCTCAAATCTCTTCACTCTCTTTGCCCCCATGGCTACTGCCCTAGCGTAATTTCTCATTATTTTCTCACCTGCATCACTGAGACAGCCTCCTGAGTGGAGTCCCTGCCTCTGGTCTAGTCTCCTCTGAGCCACTGCAGTCTACCGTCATCAGAGTAACCGTTCCAAAATTCCGTGACGTCGCTCCTCTCATTAAAATTCTTCAGTGACCTGCAAGGTCTCTTCCAAGTAAAGTAAAGCTCTGTACGATCCACCTTCTGCATCTCCTGCTCCTCTTCACCCTCTGCCCTTTTTCATGTTCTCTGGCTGGAAGTGTAAAGCCTTGTCTTAAATAGCTGAGGTTTCAACATGCCTCCAAGCCTCTGGACTTGCCCCACCAGCTACTTAAGGGAGGGATCAACCATTTCTTATGCCAAGTCCAACCATCTTGGACATAACCTGCCTACTGACTCACACCTATCTCTATGGTTCTTCGGGAAGGTAGTCTTTACCTACTCCATCCCAACCTGTTTCAGTGAGGTGCCTTCCTCTGCTCACATATTTCCGTTAAAGTAGTTACAGTTGGAGTATAAGAACCACTGTTATTTTAGTTGATATTTCTGAAAACATACCACATACTCTGCTAAGCATTTATATGTACATATATTATCTCATTTAATCCACTCAAGAACTTTGCATGATGGGTGTTCCTATGATCCCTATTTTACATTTGATGACACAAGGTCTTGAGAAGTTAAGTAACTCATTCAATGTCACACAACTAGTGAAATACAGAGTGGGGTTGACTTGAGAGCAAGTTATCTTAACCTAGCTTTACTGTAATTGCGTGTTTGCTTGTGTGTTCTTTCTTACCCCTCCTCCCAAGACTGCAGGTTCCTTAACAGCAGGAGACTGTGCCTTTTTCATGTTTATCTCTTGGGCACATGGTCCAATAGGCAATAAATGTTGAATGCAAAAGAATGCATGAATTAATCTCCAAAACTTCACCTGTGCCTTGAGCTCTCACAGGGGGATCATATTGAAATTATGGTATTTGGGGTTTAACTTTAAAAATATACCAAAGAGCCCCTCCCCCAAATATAATTAAAAGGAATTTCTAGGGCGCCCCTTTAGTGCCTCATATGACTATTCCTCCCCCTAAAAATGATGATTAGGATGGGACACCTTAGGGACCACTGGCTGTTTTCTGGCTGATAAACTGGAATAGAGCAGTCTAACCCTGAAAAGGTATTTGAATGTTTTAACACTATCAGAGTCTAGAGATTGTTCAGGTCTACACCTAGGCCTGGGCTGCCCTGCCATGTCTCTGTTCTGTTATTCCATAAGCATTAAGGATGAGCCTCTTGTTACAATGCTCTACTGATGAGAAAGATTTCCAGGTCTTTACATTCACGCATATATCATCCACTCAAAAAACATGTGACAAGTGTACACTTTGTGCCAGGGCTTGTGCTAAGGCACAAGGACATGATGAACACGATGAAAATACAAGGTCCCTCCAGCAAACAACCCCTTGGGCCACCCACTGTCCAGTTATGGTGCAAACACATAGACAGCTAACTCCCATCTACCACAGGAGAATTCCTTTTGAGATGTAAACCATCAACACAGGACATGAGTATTAAACTAGAGGGAACAGCCGTCTTCTCGAAAAGGGCACATGAACACTTTGGATTTCGAAGCAGAAAAATCTGATGATTCTGGAGAATGATCATGCTGACTTAATTTGTGCTCAGTTGAACGTGTTGGAGAACTTGTATCTGCTAAGACAGATGATGCACAGAACACCAGTAAGCGATGATTTACACATGAGGAGATAAATCATCATGAAATATCTTGTTTTGTATTAGTCTTTGGTCTGTATGTACCTCAGAATGTGTTAAGAAGCAAGAAGAAACAAGTCTTTAGGGGAATAATTCAAATCTTTATGATTAAGATAACCTTGAAAGAGTTACTTCACGTCTCTGTTCCTCAGTTTCCTCAGGTGTAAAATAAAAAGCTTGAACTAGGTAATCCCTGAGATATCTTCTAGCTCTAATGGCTCATGAATGTGAAGCTCATTCAGCCTGATCCTATGGATGGAGAGGGATTTTAAAATTCACTTTATAGGCTCCTGATTCACTAGGTTCTTTGAAGTAATCCCTTCTTCTCTCACACACACATACACAACACACACACACACACACACACACACACACACACACACACACACAATCTCTTTCTTCCACCCCTCCTACCCCTCCCAAAGCTGGGTCTACTTGAGGCAGTTTGTTTCAAATTGTAGAATACTATTTGTTCCAAACCACTTTGGCTTTAACAAGAAGGTGAACGGTAAGGCTCTCTTACTGATAGCCAAAGATGATTAGAAGCAAACAAACCTCAGTTTGAACCTGGATACTGTCATGTGATTTACTGGTTATATGACCTGGGACAAGCAACCTCTTGATGGTTATTTAATAATGTAGTTGGGAGGACTGAATGAAACAAGGCATTTAAGGTACACAGCGCATTGCTTGGCCCATGGTAAACAATTAATGTTAGCTTCTAGTATTATCACAAACACTGTTAAACCTCCCACTACATGTATAATAGAGCACAGATGGTAAATAAGTTAAAAATAGAGACAGGCGTACAATATTTGAGAACAGAAGTGTGCCGACGAGTGTGATCTGCCCCTTGCCCAACCACAGCACTTGTTAGCTTTCTGCCCAGACGTGTTCCCTGTCACACAGACCTAGCCTAATGGAACCTTGAAGGACTGAAGAGTTAGCAAAGCTTTGCAAAATGATTACTTGACTCTCGTGGGGAGCCCGAGGTGACTGGAAAGTGATTTGAATGCCTTATGTAAAAGGTTTACTGAGATTAAAATGGTTATTAATATTTATTAAAACGATGTAAATCTCATTCATCTAGACCCAGACAGCCTGAGTAAGAGCCCAGAACAGTGAGCGATGAGAAGTGCTACCCTCCAGGGGCATGTGCAGGGCTAGGTGTGCCCACAGAGCACAGAAGTCTCCGAGCACAAACTGGCCTCCTCAGCCGACTTCTGTCTTTCCTGAGGCTGCCGGGCTGAACCGAAATGAGTTAGATTAAATCAGCACCTACCTACTCATTCATACAATGAAGCTGGCACCTCCAGGGTCAGCAGAGTGTACATTTCAGCTCAGCAGCCTGGTGTGTAACGGAGACCTAAGGAAACGCCATTGTTCAATGAGCCTTTTGATCTTTTTCACCTAAATTCATAACAATATTGGCAAGAATTCCCAATTTGTCCCCTAAGATCTGATAAAAAAGACACCTATTTCTTGTTTCCTTATGAGTTGCATACTTGCACGGGGCCACACAGCCTGATTTGCCCAGGAATGCCCTTCCCACGAAGGGGAAAATGTGAGCACAGAAGAACTCGTCTATTTTTTTCTGGATTTTGCTCAGTTAACAAAAGAGCTAAAATTGATTTTTTTCTGGGTTTTGCTCAGTTAACAAAAGAGCTAAAATTGGTCAGGTTATTTTACTTTCTGGAGCCTCAATATTATCAAATGGAAATGGATCTAATATCTGGCAAGTGGAGCTGTTGCAAGGATTAACCCCAATTACTCTAGTTGATGGTGTCCAAGGGGAAGAATAGGATAGTGATTAAATGCACAAAGCCTGAAGCCAGATGGCCAGCTTCAAATTCCAGCCGCCTCCTAACCAGCTATACGATCCTGAGCAAGTTGCTTAAATTCTTATTATCCTCAGTTTCTCACCTGTGAAGTGGGGATGACCATGATCATAGATTAGCACTAGTCAATAAATGGCAGTTGTTTCTTAAGAAAAAAACTCAAAGCAGGCAAATATCTAGGATATCAGGTCACAAGATGTTGTTTCGAAGGGCAGCAGAATTTGATACCATTACTAACTTTCCTCCTCCTGAAAAGTATAGACAATACAGCTAAGACCCCAAGCCACCATGCTCCAAAGTCCTCCATGGTAGCTCAGTTGTGGCTAGCAGGCTCTAAGAAGTCACCTGGTCTTAGTGCCCCTACCTATTATGTTTACTATAGTCTCAGGATATCAGAAAAGCATTGCGGGGGGAGCAGCCCAGGTAATAAAAGCCCCACAGTAGACTACAATAGTATCTGTTGGTGCCATGTGCAGACCAGCTGGTCCCCAAGTACTTTAATGGGGGACAAAACAATTGGAAATGCACTGTAAATCAAAATATATAAAATTACACTGGACATTCTTTTGTCAGTGTATTGTTTGTTTCCCACAACTGAAAGCTCAAAAAGCAGCAGCCAGGGCTTCCCTGGTGGCGCAGTGGTTGGGAGTCCGCCTGCCAATG